TCTTGGATTTAGGAAGAGCAATCTGGAGGCTAATAGTAGAGACTAAGGCTGAAGGTAGAAGAGGCTAGTTATGCCAGTGAAACCAGTTTGGAGATTTTTATTGGCGATTATTGGGGATTTGAAGTGTGACAAATAGATATGGAAAGAAAGAGTGCAATAGACAGGACTTGGAAACTCTTCTATCTATATTCTCCCTAGATTTCATCTTTCCCTCTGCCATTAAACATCAGCTACCTAATGCTGACAATTCCAAAATTTTATCTCCAGAACCCACCTCTCCTCTGAGTTCCAGATCACATACTTGACATCTCGATTTCCCTTCCAGTGTAATCTTTGTCTTTTAAATAATCTCTAAGAGAATTTTAAGTCATGCTTTTTTCTGTAGTAAGCAAAAGCCCGCCAAATCATTACAATAGTCATCCTATAAAAATAGCCAGAGCCCCAAAAAGCATCATTGGGAACTTAAGTTACAAAATTTTGCAGAGCAAAGTAACTTCATTATAAAAACATCTTGACTTAAAGAGATGATAAAATATCCATAATTCTAACAGCCTAATAAAACCATTACCCACATCAAAATGTTTCCTTTTATTCTTTTACTTCCAGAACAGGAGTTTGAATTTCTTTTTAACTATCCTCTTTCATCTTTTGTTTCCGTCTGTCATCCTTCTCCATCCCACCACACCACACCCTCTGTACGTGCATGCACACACCACTGTGCTGCATAAGTATTCCTAGGAGTTTATTGGAGATAGTGGATAAGGAGTCTATAGATAGGTAACAGCTTCAAAACTTTCACGCCAGTAACAGAGCTTCTGTCTGTTAACATTTCCTCTACAATCACTGCTTCAATTGAGATCTTGCCACAGAAATTTGGGATTAGGTATATAAAGGACTTAAAAGATAGTGTATAATTATTGCAACACTGGAGAGTGCCTAGTGGTATTTGAAAAGGGGACTTGGTTAAGATTGTGACATTTTCCTTCATGTCTAAAAATTTCATAAAGTAATGAGTGATTCATCTCCCTGCCTTGAACCTCAGGTTCTCTGTGGTTTCAACCAGAATTCTTAAGACAAAACTAAAGTACAGGCAATTTCCAGGCTATGAACATCTGATTTAGGTACAGAACATCTGACTTAGATACAACTTGTATTTACCAATGTAAAGCCTATTACTATATTAAAAACTGATACATAGAGTGGTTTGTGATAACTAATGGGCATGCTAGTCAAAAATGTTTGTCTCATTAGAGTACTTTTCTATGCATAAAAAACATTAAAGAAACACTTCTAGATATGCTAAAACATCTTTAACATAGTACAGAAATAATATTTCGACTAGCTATAGTTACAATCATACCTAACCCACAAATTCTATTTAAAGACAGACTTAGCAGAATTCATTTGTTTACCCAGGGACTGCTTATATACAACAGTTGGTTGTGTCTTTTTCATGATTTAATAACTTTTCCAGAAGAACTTACTACAGGAGCAGTGTCACCATATATTTATTACTGGAAGTAGTAGATGTGAAACGATATTAAAAAAACAAACTCTGAATAAAACATAATTTAAAACCAAAAAAAACCCAAACCCACTCCCAGCGAGTCAATTCTGACTCAATTCTGATTCGATTCTGACTCATAGCAACCCTGTAGGTCAGAGTAGAACTGCCCATGGGGTTTCCATGGCTGTAAGGTTGGGCAATCCTACTTCCGTAATGATACTGCCTCGGAAACCCAAGGAGGGGTCACTATGAGTCGGGGCTGACTCGACGGCAAACAACAACAGCAACAAATCTTTACAGAAGCATGCTGCCTCGTCTTTCTCCCTTGAAGTGTCTGGTGGGTTCCAACTGCTGACTTTTTGGTTACCATCTGAATGCTTTATCCACTGTGCCACCACAGCTCCTTGAAACATTTAGTTACCCATTTATTCCCTGTATCAGCAAATAATCTGATCATCCACCTAGTTGCCCAAGCTAGAAATTAGAGTGTGAGTCTTTATTTCTCCTTCACTCTCCACGCCCATCTTATCCTTCCTATTTTATCTCCTCCTAAATATTTTGTTAGTTGGCTGCTTTTAATTTGTTTATATTAAAAATTGGTCTTCCCCAGAGTGTATCTTTCAGTCACCTCTGATAAAAATCTCTAAACTGGACCCATGGATAATCAAGGGCTTATCCTTGAATTTAGCTGTTTTTTCTATAGGCTAGGCAAATGTGCTAACCAGCTCTGTCCCAGCTTAAGAAAGACACCCATTTACTGTCCAAGACAGCATACTGTACAGTGGAGATCCAGCTTCTTGTCTTCACCTAAGAACCCTTGTGGGGAGGGTTTTTCTGATCACATTTAAGTGTCCATAGTGTATATGATAAAAGTATATGGTTTGTTCAGGTTTCCTAATCCTTTGCTAATTTTGCCATCTTATAATAATTACTAGTTTAAGATTTTCGAATTTATTAACATATAATTGCCCATAATATTGTTTTGCTCATACTGTTTCTTAATCTGTTGTTGTTATTTTCCCCTTTTCATGCGTTTTACTTTGTTTATATTTTTTTCCCTCAACTAGTTTTATCAGAATTTGTCTCTTAAAATCTTTTCAAAAAGAATTGTCTTTATTTTTTGAATCTTCTTTTTCTGACATCACTCCCCCCTGCAAGTTTGCGCTATTATTCTCTCCCCATCTTCTTGATAAGAATGCTTAGGTCCATTTGTCTTTAGGCTTGTTTAAAGAAAAATGTTTTTCAAGTTTGCTTTCTCTTAAGTAAGAAGTTTTGGTGGTGTAGCGGTTAAAGCATTTGGCTGATAACCATAAAGTCAGCTATTTGAACCCACCAGCTACTCTGCAGGAGAAAGATAAGGCAGTCTGCTTCCGTAAAGATTTACAGTCTTAGAAACCCTGTGGGACAGTTCTACTCTGTCCTAAAGGCTTGCTGTGAGTCAGAATCAACTTGATGGCAGTGAGTTTTGGGTTTTTCTCTTCAGTACTGCTTTAGCTGTATATTGCAAATTTATTTAAGTATATTGAAACTTTCTTATGTCATTCCCTCCTTTCTCCCACAATGAGAAATCTAGTTCTCATTTTTCCTTAGTATTTTTACCAACCCCAGTATGTACCCATCCTCTTCCAAACTAATTACTAACTCTTCCCTTGGAAGGATTCCCTTTTCACCACTTCCAAGTTGCAACACCTGTGTAAAAGCGCGTGGCTGCATGAAATCCCTCAACCTACTTAGCTTTGTCTCTCTGCCTGGATGTCCTCCTTACTCTAATCAGGCTCTAATGCTCTGCATTGGTCTACCTTCCTACAGGATACTCCTTACCCTGCGTGGTCTCTGGCACCCTGCACTGTGCTGTTGCCACACAGATACTTTTCCCTGTCCTCCACCCTGCATGGACATTGTTCACTTCCTGGTTTGGTGCCACCACCTTGCTCTGTGTTCTGTCTGCAGCACCTCCCACTGTCCCTATGGATCCCTACTTTACCTGACCCATTTAATGGCTTTTGGACAGAATTTTTTCAGTAGGGATAGGGGGAGAGTAGGAGCTACAAGTGAAAGTCGTTTTCTACTTTCAGTACAGAGTGGTCAGAGAACATAGAATGTTTATTCTTCAGAACAAATTGAGACTTCATTTAGCATATCATCAATTTTTATGACAGTTCCATGTATGCTCAAAGAATATGTTGTCTGGATGATACACTTCAGCTTGAAAAATGACATTACTCAAAACTTACACTTAATTTTTATTTGCTTATTCCATTGGTACTCTTGTAAGTATTGGAAATACATAAAAAGCGTAGAGAATAAGTGAATAGTCTTATACTCCATCTTATATAGTCTTCTACTCCATCTCTCAACTTAAGAAATAATGCATTACAGACAAAGTGAAGCCCTCTGGGACCTCTTTCTGATTTCTTTCTCTTCGTTTCCTAACAGAGGTATTTACTATCCTGAATTTGGTGTTTCTTATTCTATGAACTTTAAATAAATAATATAGCAAGGTTGTTAAGTGCACATTTGAGACATAGTCTCCAAACTGGGAATTTATCAGTGTAGACTAGGATTGCCCACAGAAGTAACTATCCTTGTGTATCCCTCCCTTGCCCCCCCCCCCAAAAAAACCCAGAAAAACCACTTTGTAGCCCCTGAAAGAATGTTGGGAATATGCCAGAGTAAATTTTGTGTCTTCTCTCACTATATATCTTAAGCCAGATCTTGAGAGCTTTACTTCTCTTAATTGATGGCTAGAGATAATAAGAATATGTACCACATGTGTGAGAAATACTGTGCAAGTTTCTTAAGGACCCAGCTGTGGATAGTATTAGTTATTCTAATAGGTAGTTGATGATTATAGTGTATAATAATAAACCAGCAAGCAATATGGTTCTTTGACTACTTAAGGCAATCTATTCCATTTATGAGAGAAAACCTAAAAGATCCATTAATTTGCATTTCTGAACAAATTACCTTTGATTGGAGAAATGGTTATATAAGAAGTCAAATTCTCTGTTCAAATGACTTTTCAAAAATTCTTAAAGAACTGTATCCAGTTATGTTACTGCTATGACGTAGTGCTTAATGCATGTGACTGCTAACCAGAAGGCTGGCGGTTCAAACCCACCAGCCACTTCTAGGAAGGAAGTTGGGCAATCTACTTCTATAGTGATACCGCCTCGGAAACCCAAGGAGGGGTCGCTATGAGTCGGATCCGACTCCACAGCAGTGGGTTTGGTTTCTTGGTTTTATAGGTGGTGATACATTAAATTAATATCTAAATAGAATTGGGCTTCAGGGTTTGGCTTTCAGGACCTTGACTTCATTGGTCATTTGTGTCTTGTTTTAGCAATTATATGTAACAATGATTTTTGCCTCTTGTGATACTATGTGTTGTTTTGTTTTGTTACTTACAGAGTGAAGATTTCTGTGACCTTTTAAATAACACAGTAATGACAGAAATGGATCCAAAATAAGTGACTTCTCTACTGAACCTATAGAAGAGTCTTCATATCACCTTCTAGTAGCTCAATTCGGTCTTTAAAAAGGGGCAGAAACCGTGAAATTCAGAAAACTGAAAAGAAGAAATTCTCACTTTGGAACTGTCTTTCTTCTTGACTACCCCTTATCCCTGTCTTTCTACTTGTTTTATTTTGCTCTGTATTTATAAATAGTGAACACCAAAGAAATAGAAGATACATTTGGGAGCTTTATACCAAGAAATTTGTCTTGAAAGCTGCTGTTCTATAGGGGGGAAAAATATATCAAGTTCCTGTCTGGATTTTTTTTTTCTTTTAAACCAGATTTCTTATATGTTTAGATTTTTGAGAATAAAACAGATATAAATACCTATTTTTAGCAACTGTGTAAGAATGAGATTTGTATTTTAAGGGCTTTGTCATGTGGATGTTTTGCCACTGGAGTTGACTGCTCAGAAGATTTTTTATAGCACTTTAAAATTATATTTTTGGGCTATCACCTTGATGACACCCCTTGCCCACAAATGAGCCCACCTATCTCTCTAGCTATGACCTTGTTATGAGCAGTGTTTGCATTCACTGTGCAAATGTCCATGTATTATCTATTTAAGCAGCATCATAGTGCCATCACTCAAAGAAGTTGAATGAGGTGAACATAGACATAGCTCTTTCCCCTTCCCCCCCTTTTTTTAAATGTAACAAATACCTTTTTATGTCCCCCTTCCCCCTTCCCCTTCCCCTCCCCCATCTGGGAAAGTGTCAGGAACTAGATAGTTTAAGATGAACAATTGAGGGACTGAGAGAGTGGTCCACACAGAGTCTGGCTTCTTTGTGCTTCATCACAAGGTGTGCTGCCGGCCAGGCTAGTTAAGCACCCTTTTACCAAAAGAACCTCGTGGAAGATCCAGCTGGCAGACTCAAGGAGTTCGGGAAACAGGACCACAGAGGTTACACTCTGGGGTAAATATTCTCCTTATGTCTATCTTTGAAAGAAAGCTGCATATGTATCATGGAAAATATATCTTGCTTTCTAATTTTGGAGAGTACCAGTGGAGTGGTTTGGAATCTAATTTGGGAGAGTATCATTGGAATGGTTTGGAGATGCCAAAGTCAGGAAAACTGATAATAGTTGTTCTCTGTGGAAATTAATGTGAACTAAATAGAAAAGCTTTTCAGAGATTGTGTATTCCTTTTTTAGGAAGCTCTGTGTGTTGCTCTTCCCAGAAGTTACCTAAGTATCTGAAGCAGATTAATCTCACAAGCATCAGGAACTTAACTAGGTGTCTGTTCTTACGTTCTTCTGATATAACTCAAGAATTCATCAGCTGCCTTCATATACCCTTCCAGAGTCATGTCACATTTTTCTGCTTATGTGTTTTTCATGGTCATATCTCGACGGCACATAACAACAACAACAACAACAACAACTGTGTTTTTATAGAATGTCTCAGATATAGAGTCTAATTAGTAGGCTAGCAAGGCTCAGAGGGCAGGTCTTTCTATAAAACAGGGATCACAGAATAATCACAAACTCCTGTACACTGGAGTTGATTGCATAGAAGATCTTTTATACCACTTCAAAATTATATTTTTGGACTATCACCTTGATGACATCATTTGCCAACACATGAGTGCACCTGGCTTTCTATGACCTTGTTAGGAATAGTGTTTTGTGTTTTTGCCAGCATAAGTGATTTGAGTTATCTCATTTTCAGATCCTGGCCATGAGGTTGGATGCCTCACCTTGCTAAAAAGAGACACTGGACCTAAATGGCGCAGCATGACTTTGTTCCTGCTTGGCTAAATTTCTCAACACCACAGTCAGCTAAGGTACTATTTTCTTTTCCATTCCTATAGTAACTATCCATATACCAGTACTTTTCATCCTTAACCAGGCTTATGGTATTCTTTTCTATATGCAGCCTTGCCTGAAGGTTTCAAAAAAAGTTTTCATAGAGTTCTCTTTTTAATAGGATATTAAATTATTATAAATAGGTAGTCCACATCAATGTGTATCTCATTACCTCCAAGTGTCTCAATTGTATGCTAAGCTTTTCATTACGTGGCACATTTAAAACTTCCTATATTAGCTGCAGCACACTTGGGGGATAAGACATACCTTTTAACCAATTGTTAGCACTGGGCAGATCTGCTGCAAAAGACCTTTTTAAAGTGCTGAAGAGCAAAAATGTCGTTTGAAGACTGAGGTGCGCCTAATTTAGGCCATGGTATTTTCAGTCACCTCATATGCATGTGAAAGGTGGACAGTGAATAAGGAAGACCAAAGAAAAGTTGATACTTTTGAGTTGTGGCGTTGGTGAAGAATACTGAAAGTACCATGAACAGCCAGAAGAATGAACAAATATGTTGAAGAAGTATAGTCAGAATGCTCCTTGGAAGCAAGAATGGCTAGACTAACTAACTAAGTCTCATCTACTTTGGTCGTGTTGTGAGAAGGGACCATTCCCTGGAGAAAGGTACCATGTTTGGTAAAGTGAAGGGTCATTGTAAAAGGGGAAGGCCCTCAACGAGATGGATTGATACAGTGGCTGCAGCAGTGGGCTCAGGTATAGCAAGGATTGTGAGTCTGGCGCAGAACTGGGCAGAGTTTCATTCTGTTGTACACAGGGTCGCTAAGAGTCAGGGCTGACTCTATAGCACCTAACAACAACAACCAATTGTTAGAGCCCTGGTGATGCAGTGGTTAAGCACTTGGCTCCTAACCAAAAGGTTGACAGTTCAAACCCATCAGCCATTCTGCAGAACAAAGATGTGGCAGTCTGCTTCCAGAAAGATTACAGGCTTAGAAGCCCTATGGGCCATTCAGCTCTATCCTGTGGGGCTGCTGTTAGTTGGAATCGACTCAACAGCAGTGAGTTTGGCTTTGGAGCCAACTGGTTGAGGACAAAGGGGCAGAGGTGAAAGGGAAATGTATGGCCCTTGGGGAAATAGACATTTGCAGTGAACACACTGTCTATGAAGAAGAGGAAAAACTAGAGGGAAGTGAATGTTCCATTACTATATGAATCTTAGGTTAAATACTCAAAATTCTATTTTAGAGGTGATAATCCACTTATAGGAATTCCTTGGTTGGCACAAATAGTTAAGCCCTGAATTGCTAGCAAAAAGATTGGCAGTTCGAACCCACCCAGCAGGGCCTTGGAAGATAGGCTGACAGTTTGCTTCTGAAACGTCACAGCCTTGAAAACCCTGTGCTGTACAGTTCTATTCTGTACATGGGGCTACCATGAGTCAGAATCTACCTGATGGCAACTGACAGCAACAATAACAATTCATTTATTGATTTCAGGGGAAAATGTATTTATTGGGGTAAAGACAAGTGAAACAAACAGTCCATATAGACTAAGGCAGAACTCCTAGTCACAGTACATAGAAGAACAGGCTAAGTTATTGATAAAGTAAACCTTTGGGACCTAGTAAACTTAAAAATGCATAGAGAAGGAATAGAATCTTACAAAATGGCTTACTATCCCTCTTTTTGGGAGCTCTGGTGTGGTGTAGTGCCTGTGGCATTTGACTGCTAACCAGTAGGCTGGCGGTTCAAACTCACCAGCCACTCCTTGGAAGGAAGGTTGGGCAATCTTCTTCTGTAGAGATAGTGCCTCAGAAACACGAGGGGTTACTATGAGGCAGGACCAACTCAGTGGCAGTGAGTGAGCATCCCTATTTTTAAATGTGAATATTTTAGAAAATGCTTCTGGTCTGAACCAGACCCTAACTTCATATTGAATTGTCCCTCTCAAATTCCCAAAATTTCTTAGTAGGCCTAATCTGACGCAAGCCTTGAGGGTGATGAGCCAGAGGGATTGGATGTGGTGTCTAGGGAAATAGTTTTAAGAGTATACAGGTTTTTACCAGGGGTGGGAGGGGAAGATAGGGAACACTGTTAGACAGGTAGAGACCAGTATTGATTTGGGTGAAGAGAAGGGCAGTGTACAAATGTGAGTGATCAACACAGTAGCACTGAGGAAGAGGAAGATGGGAGAGGTGCATGGGAGGTACAGACAACAAAGATGAATCCTTTTGCACATATAGTACTGCACTGTCAGTGAAGGCAAACATGGATAGATGGGTGGACAGGCTGAACTACCAGGTTTGTCGGTGCAGGGGTGTGTGTGCCCAAGACCATGTATAGGGTTGGCAGACAATGTTTCTACAAGTATATTGGTATGTTCTGTAAGAATTCCCAGGTATATAATAGAGCTGACAAGGGACAAAGCTGTAGTCACGTCTTGCATACGAACAGCTACCCAGAGGGAGCAAGTAGTTGGACCTGTGGGCTCAGGACCACAATCACAGGGGACATCAAGCTTAAATGGCATAACATACTACCCAAAACATTGTTCTACATCCTACTTTGGCAAGTAGTGACTAGGATCTTGAAGGCTTGCAAGCAGCCATCTAGATGCAACGATGGGTCTCTCCTCATCCAGAGCAAAGAAGAATGAAGAAAACCAAAGATTCATGGAAACAATTAGTCCAAGGGACTGGAACACCATGTGATCCTCAGCCTATACGACTATGAGACCAAAAGAACTAGATGGTACCCGGCTAACACTGTCAACCACTCAGAGGGGGAGCTATGTAAGAGATCCTGATTAGAATGGGAGAACAATGTGGAACAAAACTCAAAATCATTTGAGGAAAAAAAACAAAAAGGGACCAGGTTTGCTGGTCTGATAGAGCCTGATGGAACCACTGAGACTATGGCCCCTAGCTGCCCTTCAGATCTGGAATTGAAGCCACACCTGTGGCTTCCAGCCAAACAAAACACAGGCATATGAGGTGAACATTTACACTAGGTAGATACACTCCTTGGAGAGAACACTCATGGGAGAAAGAAGGGCTGCTTATGCACAGGGAGACAGCTCAGGGGGCAGGAGTGCATTGAGGGAAGGACATAGAGAAGAGGTAATTATTGGGAGGAAGTTGGAGGGGAGCTGTTGCATTGTGGGAAACTGTGGTCAATGTCGTGAGACAAAAGTGTATGTGAACTGCTGTATGGAAGGTGAATTTGCTCTGTGAACTTTCACCCAAATCACAATTAAAAAATATATATATACTGATTTTATATTTTCAAAGAATGATTGTTCTAGCAAAATGAACTAAGTAAAAACAGTTAAGAAATAAGATTTCAGTATATCCAGTAAAATCACACTAAGCAAAGCAGTGGGACATTGCCATAAGGTTAAGCATATAAAGCAATGGTACAGAATTCAACACTAGGCCTACATATACGGTCATTTGATTTTTGACAAAAGTGCCAGGGTAATTTAATGAGGGAAGTGATTAGTGTTTATTAACAAATGGTACTAAGAACAACCAAATATCTCTGTAGAAAAAATAAAAAGAACCTCAAAATTTTATTCATATAAGATACAAAAATTAAAAAAGACTTGATGATATCAAGGGTTGGTGAGGATTTTTTTTTTTTTTTTTTTTTTTTTTAATATTTTATTGTGATTTGGGCAAAAGATCACAGAGCCCGTTAATTTCCCATTTAAGGATTTGTTCACATTTTGTTTTGTGATATTAGTTGCAATCCCTCCAGTGTAACAACATTCTTCCCACTTCCTTCCTGCATTCCCCATTTCAATTTATCCTTCTTTCCTGCCCCTTCCTGTCTTCTGAGCCTTATTTTGGGGCAGATGTTATCCTTATAGTCCCATATGGTTGATTGTTCTGAGGAGCAATTTCTCAGAGGTGTTAAGTTTACATTATAGGCTGATCTATTGTTTGGTTGAAAGGTGATCCCTAGGGATGGGTTTAGTTCCAAGTTTGAAGGGTGACTAAGGACCCTAGTCTCAGGGTTTCACCAGTCTGTCAGACCAGTAAATCTGGGTGGTTTTTTTTTTTTTTTTTTTCCTCCTGTGATTTTGAATTTTGTTCCACTTCTTTCTCCTGCTCTGGCTGGCACTTTCTTTTGAGATCCTGACCAGAGTAATTGGTAGTGGTAATCAGGCGCCATCTGGTACTTCTGATTTCAGGTTGGTGGGGCCTGTGATTCATATGGTCCATTAGTTCTTTGGACTAATTGTTTCCTTGAGTCCTTTCATTTTCTTCACTCTTCTTTGGTCCTGATAGGGAGTGTGGTAGTTAAGTTTGTGTGTCATCTTGGCTGGTCCTGGTTGCGTGGCTGGGTAGCTGGATGTAGTATTCCCTATGATGAGATTGGTAATCAACTCTGTGGTGGAGTCTACTGTAAGCAGCTGAGTAGCTGCCTTAGGGATGTGGTCTACTTCCCATATATAGGGAGAAGCCTTGGGGAACAGTCTCTAGCTTATGGCACGCTTGAACCCTGCATGTAGCCATATTGTTGTTCAGCAGCCTGCCATGCTCTGCCGACCTTGGGACTTTCAGCGGACTTGAATTAATGGCCTGCTGCGTGGTTTGGTAACATCAGGACTGTGCCTTTTTACTTGTCAACAACCTTGGGCTTGTCAGTCTCAGCAGCCAGTAGCTGTCTGAGTGAAGAAAAGCCTCTGGCTTCAGTGGGCCAGGAACAGGAGGCAGAGCTGAAGCCCAAGGTTGAGGGGCTCTCACCCAGCCCCTAGAGCCTGGGACTTTGAACTCGGACTTAAAGCCTCCAAATTTTAAGAATAAACTCTTGTTTATTAAAGCCATCTCATTGGTGTATTCTTGTCAGAGCGGCACTAGGTAACCAGAACAGGTAGAGACCAATAGTTGCACCTTAAATAACTACTCACAAGCTTTTAAAACCCCAGTTGCTACTCACCAAACTAGTATGTAGAATATTGTCTTTGTGGGCTATGTTATGCCATTTGACCTAGATATCCCCCAAGACCGAGACTATGGTCCTAAGCCCCAAGCCCAGCAACTCAGTCCCTTGAGGTGTTTTTTTATGGCTAAGAAGTTTTTATACCTTTGTTCCCTGTATGCTCTACTGTATACCTGGATATATTTATAGCATGTACAAATACATATATAGAAATATCTTCTGCCAAACCTATGTGTATATACACATGAATGTTGTCTCATATACCATTCTACATCTGTTCATCTTCCATATCTACTATATATCTGCTCAAATTATTGTGTGTCATTACTGTTGCTGCAGGATTGTGTATGTAATAGTATTTACCATTATTGGTCTTTTATTCTGTGTACCCACTGTCTTTTACCTTGGTCATGTTATGCTAACCTCCTCTTACTGTATATTATCTTCCCTTTTACCCAAGTTAATACGTGTCTACTGTCTAGTTAATGATTTTTCCCTCCCTCCCTTCTTCTCCTATCCCTGGTAACAATGAAAGAATGTTTCTGTGTGCATATCTTTTCTTGATTTTATATAGTAGTAGGCTCATATTATTTTTATCCTTTGGTGATTAACTTATTTCACTCAGCATAATATCCTCTGGGTTCATCCATGTTATGAGATGTTTTGTGGATTCGTATTTAACATTGCATAGTACTGCATTATGTGTATGTGCCATAGTTGTTGGTGAGAATATTGATACTGGGGGGGAAAATGTAAAAATAATCTGTCCTCCAACATACAGTTTTCCTATACACCCTTGTTCAATATATCCATACTTTTCATGGCTTTACAGACTTTGATCTCTTATCATTTTAGACTAAAGAATATCATAGAATAAAATTTTATGGAATAGGAAGGGACATTAGAACTCATCTGTAACAGTTTCTCAAACAGCTTCCTTTCAGTTATGTAATCTAAAAGACTACTTATTTTCCCTCACTTTCTTCATATTGTTAAATGGATTAAGTGAGGATGATGCCAAAATTACATTGTTATTGAGTAATGTTAGGAAATAAGTGCTGTATAAAAGCTTGTAGTTGCTAATGGCCTACCACTATGGTTTTCACACCATTGTTTTCCTGGAAGGAGCCCTGGTGGTGCAGTGGTTAAGCACTTGGCTGCTAACCAACAGGTCAGCATTTGGAACCCACCAGCATATGTGGCAGTCTGCTTTCATGAAGATTACAGCCTTGGAAAACCCTGTGGGGGCAGTTCTATCCTGTCCTGTAGGGTCACTGTGAGTCAGAATTAACTCAGCAATGGGTTTGGTTTTTGGTTTGGGTTTTCTTCCCAATTGTAGCATAATTTACAAGAATGGTAAACCAAACCAAAACCAAACTCACTGATGCTGAGTTGATTCTGAATCATGGTGACCCCTCCTTGGGTTTCCAAGGCAGTATCTCTATTTATAGAAGTAGATTGCCTGATATTCCTTCTGAGGAGTGGCTGGTGGGTTTGAACTGCCAGCCTTCTGGTTATCAGTCAGATGCCTTAGGCACTATGCCACCAGGGCTTCTACAAGAGTAATAAGCTGTTTATAATTTTTGTTTAAAGTAAATGTTTTTATTTCTCTTTTTGTAAGATTAATATTTTAAAATGTAAAGTTTTGGTAGTTATTCTTTCTGGATATTGACAGATTTTTTTTTCCCCCTCCTCTTTGTTGTGTAAGCATTTGTAGTGGCTGACTTTTCTCCCTTTCTGGCATAAAAGAAGTGAGTTAATGAGTGAATATGTAACTTAAGACTTCTCTAAATTAACTCAGAGCTTTGTGGCCCATATGCACATAATAGAGATTTTTCCACCATTATCAGTTGTTTCCTAACAGCTTGATGTAAAACTACCTACTAAGATACTGAAAGAGATTAATATCTGTTTACCTATTTGCCTCTATACTTTATCATCTTAGTCACCTGCAGCTCCCTTTGAAAAACACGGGGAGCACCTGTCCCGAGGGGAAGGTAGATTTGGAGTGAGCCGTCGTCGACATAATTCCTCTGATGGCTTTTTTAACAATGGACCCCTTCGAACTACAGGAGGTGAGCCATGCCCAACTTTCATGACTACATTTAAACTACTCAGGGCACACCAAGGCTGGGAGTTTGTTGTTAGTTGCCATCAAGTCAGTTCCAACTTGTGGTGACCACATGTGTTGTGACCTGTCTGTAGGGTTTTCATTGGGTAATTTCTGGAAGTAGATTGCCAGGCTTTTCTTCCTACTCTTATGGAAGCTCCGTTGAAATTTGTCCAACATAGGTGCCCTGCTTGCATTTAAAATATCAGTGGAATAGGTAATACGTAAGTTACCACAGTCTGACAGACTGAAAGATGGGTGGTAGAGCTGGGACATGTCCATAATTTTGAAATATCTTTTGTGAACATAATTTTCAATTAAATAATTCCATTAGTTATTACCCACCTTCCCTGCCTTTCGGGGTGTAACAGCTTATGTTCTCATGAATCATTAATTTAGTTGAACTCTCATAGAAAGAAGAGATGTATTTTGTGATTCCTGTGTGGACTTACTGAAAAGTTCCCCTGAATGTCTTTTGGCCATACTATAAATCAGATCAGAAAGTAACCAATCTAATGTGTTACTTTTTCTTACTATTCTAGATTCCTGGCATCAGCCCTCCTTATTCCGCCACGATTCTGTGGACTCTGGTGTCTCTAAGGGAGGAGCATACAGTGGAATCACAGGGAACCTATCTGGTTGGCATGGCTCTTCCCGGGGTCATGATGGCATGAGCCAGCGTAGCGGGGGTGGCACAGGGAACCATCGCCACTGGAATGGCAGCTTCCACTCCCGGAAAGGCTCTGCCTTTCAAGAAAAATCACCTGCAGAGATTAGGGAAGAAAAAAAAGAAGACAAGGCAGAAAAGTTGCAATTTGAAGAGGAAGACTTTGTAAGTATGAAGCTTTGGATATGTAATAAAACTCAACAAAGAATGTCTTAAAGAGAACACCGTATCAGTGTTGAGAAAAACCTAATAATTACAGAAAAAGAAATTTCTAAGTGTAGATTTTTATTGGTTTTAGAAAGGATGTAAATATGTGAAAGTGATAACAAAAATTCCTGTGTAACTTTTAGCACATTTTAATGCGTTTTTCATCTTTATGCCTTTAGAATTAAAAAATACCCAGTTTCCCTTAAGTTTTATAAGGTTCAACATTCAAATGTAATTAGGTAAAAATGTCATCTCACATGTTAAATTGTTTTTCTCTAGCTATCATAAGTGTTTCCTTTTCTTGATTTTGCCCTCTTAACATATAAAATAATTGTATTAAGTAATAAACATGCAATTGGGTATATTTTAGCTTTGACCTATATTCAGTAAAACTTTATGCTAATATGTATTGAATTTCTTTTGGCCTCTAAATTAAAAGTTGCATTTTTAAGAATACCTTTCAAACTAAGTACTATACTGCTGGTTGGCATAGTTTGATTAGAAACTATATTGTTAATCTTGTGGCTTTCCCAATGGGAAATGAATTGACAGAGGGGGAAAAATGTTATTATCTTCATCTGCTAAGTGATTTAAAAGGAAGTTTGTTGTCAAATCAAGCCTGAACAAGACCAATAAGGGCAATTTCACCTTGCGTTTGTTGTCTTTTATATAATTTTAAGTGTACAGAAAACCATTTAGAAAAATTATCAAGTATACATATCACTTAATTTTGTCAAATACTGATATTTTTCCAAATATATTCTAGCTCATTCTTTTACAAAAGAGGCAAGTTATTACAGATACGGTTTAAGCCGTCCTACTCCTGTTCTTCTCACTTTCCTCTAGAGGTTATCACCATCTTGATTTCAGTGCTTTATCATCTTTGTGTGTTTTTGATCAACTGTTACTATATGTGTGTATCCATAAACTATATAGTATAATACTGCATGATTTTGACTTTTATGTGAATAGTATCTGTCATTACTTTAATTCTTTTTTATTTGCTTAAAATTGTTTCATATTTCTCTGTGTTGATACATAAGTTCTAAATAGGTCCTCAACTTTGGGCAAGCTTGCCCGTGGGATATTTGGTCATATCTGAAGACATTGTGGTTGTCACAACTGGGGATAGCATACTGGCATCTAGTGGAGGTCAGGGATATTGCTAAACATCCTACAATGTACACAAATAACGTCCACAGCAAAGAATTATCTGGCCCCAAATGTTAGTAGTGCCATGGTTGAAAATTCCTGATCAAGATCTTTTCACTACTGTGTAGTAAATACCATTTTCCTAGTGATGGACAGTTAGATTATAAGAGACCTTGTTAACTGAGGTATTGTAACTGAAGGACGAAGAGTCAAAATAAGGTTTCTATCCAAGATGACTTGATTAATAATATGTAATTAACTTGAAAAGGGAAAACAGAAGGAGCAAGATTGGCAAAAGAAGATAACTGATTCTTGGTACCAAAGAGATGAGTGAGATCTAAAGGTGTGCACTTGGAAATAGAATAGTTGAGATTTTTGGATGTATGGCATTGCCCAGGGAGAGTCATATAGTGAGAAGGAAAGGAAGAGCAGAAACTGAAGAATTAGCAAGGGGACTGAGAAGTGATTAGCTGAATCAAAAGGGAGTATATAAAGAAAGAGTAGTTAGTTAATCAGAAATCACAAAGGTGTTTTAGGGCCTGTTTATAGTGGATTTTCTATACTTCTTTTTCCTGTACTAAATAAACATTATATAATTAGAAACTTTTTTGTTGTTGTTTTAAAATAATACTAGTTTAATGTAATAAAGAGTTCTATATTATTACCTTGGGCAAGTTAACCCTCATTTTCCCTTGTTGGGTAGAGGTGATAATATGTACCTTTCAGCATTATCATAAGGATTATAGATCACATATGTTGAACAATGTGTGTGAAGCACTTAGCATACTTTGACACATTGTGGGTAAATTGTTGTTATTACTGTCCCTGACTCAGTGGCAGCCCTATTCCATGCACAACAGGATCAGACCATTGTGATTGTGATCCATTGATAGGATTTTCATTAGCTGGGTTTTTTTTAAGTATATCACCAGGTCTTTCTGCCTAGTCACCTTAATCTGGAAGCTCCAATGAAACCTGTTCAGCATCAGCGTAACATAGAAGCCTCCACTGACAGACTACTGGAGGCTGTTCTTGAGTTGCATTGTCCAGGAATCAAATCTAGGTCTCTTGCATGGAAAAGTGAGAGTTCTACCACTGAACTACCCCTGCCCCTTTTAAATGGTAACTATTATTAAATTGGGAGGAGAGCTTTGAATTTGGTAGTTTGGGGTAACCTTTGAAATGCCACTTTCAAAAGTGACAAAGACTTGGAGGGATTGGGGGGCATGGAATGAGTTGGTGATGAGTAGCATAATCTCCTCTTTGGAGAAAGAGGAACCAGCTTTGAGGGGTAGGACTTCTAGGATTGAGATTTGAAATCTGAGGGGTAAAAAATGAGCAGAGTAAAGGAATTCTGTGAGGGATGGCAGCAGCAATGTGATAGCTTTTGAATCTTCCTCAAATTCTCTAATAAAAGCAGCACTTCCTTGAATTATCAGGAGCAATTTAGTATGTTCACTGGGTGTGTTCAGCATTGTACTTAAGGTTCTAGTGAGTTCAGTATTACAAGAAAAATAAAATGCATAGAGATTAAAAGGAAGAACTAAAACTTTCTATTTGCAGATGATATGATTGTATAGAAAACCATCGGACTCCACAAAACAAATATGAGGTTTCAAGATACTTAAGTCAATATACAAAAATACCAACTATATTTTATGTATTAAAATAAGCAGTTAGGAAGTGAAGTTTGAAAAATGCCTTTTGTAATTTTTTGCAATCTAAATATTTTACTAATGCTGAGAAATGTATTTTGACAGAAAATGTGAAAGACCTCTATATTGAATCACAAAATATTGCTGGGAAAAATTAACATCTCAATAAAAGGAGAGAGAGACCATATTTTTTAATTGGAAGACTCAATATTGTTAGGACATCAGTTCCCCATTTGGTCTGTAAATTCAGCACATTCCCAATCAAAATTTCAGCATGCTTTCTTATAGGAATTGACAAAAGTAATTGTAAAATTGTATTTAAATGTGGAAGACCTAGAATATCAGAAGCCATCTTGAAAAAAGAATAAAGTTACACTACCTGACCTGAAGACGTACTGTAAAAGCTGCAATAATCAAAACAGTGGGGTATTAGTGTAAGGAAAGACGGTGGAGCAGAAGAGAGAACCCAGGAATAAACTTTCACGTAGATGGTCATTTGATTTTTGACAGAGGCCCGAAGCAAAACCAATGGAGAAAGGAATATGTTTTTAAGAAATGGTGCTTTAACAGCTATATATATACTCACATTATGTACTCCTACCTCCCTCACAAAAACTAATTTGAAATGCCTCGTAGACCTAAACATAAGGTGTAAAACTGTAAAGCTTCTACAAGAAAACAAAGGGGAATAATCTTTCCAAGTTGGGGGAGGAGCACAAAAAGGTTTCTTAGGATACAAAAAGCAGTAACCCATAAAGGAAAAGATTAATAAATAAGACCACAAGAAATGAACTGATAAAGCATGATTAATCTCAATACAGCCTTAAACAGAAGAGTGCATACTGTATAATTGCATTTATATGACAATCTGTAACGGAAAAAAAATCTGCGTGGGAAAGAAATGAGAACAGTGGTTACCTATGAGGGGATGCAGGTTGAGGAAAGGGCATGGGAGGACTTTGTAATTGATGGAGGTATTCTGTATCTTTATAGAAGTTGGTAGGTATTTGCATTTTTCAGAATTCATGGAATGTTATGGTATATTTAGTGTCTGTGTGTTCTGTATGTAAATTTTAATTAAAAAAAAAAAAAAAAAGACATCTCGAGCAGTGGGACAGGTAGCTATCATAGCCTCCTGATAAAAATATGCAAAACCAACCTCACTGCTGTCGAGTTTATTCCAACTCATAGCAACCCCCATTGGGTTTCCAAGGCAGTGAATCTTTATGGAAGTAGATTGCCCAGTCTTGCTTCTGCAGAGTGGCTGGTGGGTTTGAACCACCATATCAGTGAGAAAGAAAAATTACTTGTGTAATATTCCTGCCAAAAATTCATGAATCTAAATGTAAGAAAACATGAGACAACCCAAATTGAGGTTCTACAAAAGAATCTACAGAATTGCCATGTACTCAGATGCTAAGGTCTGGAGAAAAGAGTCTAGATTAAAGATGGAGAAAGAGATAGGACAACTAAATGTAACATATGAGCCTATATTGCATACTAGATGAGAGAATAACAGCTTTAAAAAAAAAACAAAACTTTGTATTGCTATAAAAAATATCAGTGGACAGTTAGTGAAATTTGAAAAGGAATTTTAGAGAAATGTATTAATTTCAATTTCCTAGTTTTTGTAATTATACTATGGTGATAAAGGATAATGTCCTTTTAAGGAAACATAATAAAACAGCAATGGATAGGCTTCAAGTCCTTGAACTTACACATGATTCAGAAAAAAAAAGTATTTGAATGGTAGTATAAGCAAATATAGTAAAATGTTAACATAAGGATTGAATGAAGGGTGTACAGGAATTCTTTGTATTATTTTTGCAAGTTTGAAATTACTTCAAAATTTAAAAAAAAGTAATGAGGATTGAGGAACCCAATCACAGCAAAAAGTGAGGTATCCCAGCAAACCCCAAAATACAAGCAGGAATAATCAAAGGGTAGCAGCAGGGCATCTGATAAGGCCACGAGTCCCAGAGTAGCCAGTAATTACTCTAGGAGGCTTGGAGGGCACTTTTGAAAATTTTGTTAGTTGCAATTGAGTCCATTGCAACTGATAACAACCCTATAGGACAGAGTAGAACTGCCCCATAGGATTTCCAAGTCTGTAAATCTTTATGAAAGTAGCTTGCTACTTCTCCCACAGAA